TAAAAAAGGTCATAAAAAATGCTGTGTAAAAAGAGGTCAGCGGCATAAGAAAAAGGCTCTCGGGACAGAGAGGAGCCTGCTTCCCAAATGAGGGAGTGCGAATCCCAAGATGCCAAGCAGATTTTTTCCTGGTGATTGCCAAAAAAAAGAAAAAAAAAAAAAAAAAAGACAAAAAAAAGGCATGAACACCCAGAAGGGTAAAAATTTGCCAAGAAAATCGAAGCTTTGTTTTCTGTGTCCTTTCGAGCTCCTCCTGGGTTTGTTCGCGGGGAAGGGGCACCAGGAGCGCGTCCTCGCATCCCGCGGGCCCCGGAGCAAAGCAGATTATTCCATTAGCGGTTGTAAACAAGCGGGCCCTTTCTCAAAATATTTATTTTAGGAGCCAAATGAAATGTTCCGGCCCTTTGGGAACCCGGGCCGCCCTTTCTGCGGGTGCTCCTCGGGGCTCCCGACGCCGCGGCGCTCTCGAAAGGCATCGCGGGGCTCTTCTGGATTAGTGACCCATTCGAAGGGGTCCTCATTGACGGCGGGCGCGGGTCTCTCAAAGAGTCCATTGGGCGCCGGGTACAAAGGAGTTTAGCCGGAGATGAAGAGTTTACAAAAAAAGTTTGTAGGAAACCGGGGAGGCCTTTTAAAAAGAGAATAAACTGCCACTGCTGGGCCCGGGTTGAGTTAATCTGATTAGGCCAAGCTCATCAACGGCTCTGCTGAAAAGAATGAGGCAGGGGGGGAAAGAAAAGCTGGGGACGGGGCCAAGGAGAAAAACGCGGGACCTTTTTACTAGGGAAGTCAAACAAAACCTATTGTGGCGGAGCATGCTTGCCTACAGATGGCAAAATGACAAATCTTTTCAAAGCAAAGCAAATATAATTGATGGCTTTCTTTCTCTCCAGGTATGGGAACAGACACTTAATAAGATTAAGGGAGGGCAAAATGAAAGGGAGCTGCAGAATACCGCAGATATTTGCGGCGGCTCGCGGGATGGCAGAGCCCTCTGAAGTTTGCCTCCCGTGCCCCAAACCTGGGGGAAAAAGAGAAAAAAATGAGCACGTTTGGTCCATCTTCCCATTGCCTCCTGCCTGCCGGGTTCAGTTGCCAGCATCACCCCTACCCACGTCTTGCTTTGGCACCCAAAGGAAGCGACCGTGTCATCCTGTCACCCCCTTTGGGAGATATTTTGGGGGGAAAAAAATGAACGATGGACTAAAAACCTCACCAGAAAGCGGCATCGTGGCCCAGACCTTCTCGGGAGATATTCGGGGTCTGTATTTTGAGCAGCCAGCCCCACGCTTGGCGCCGGCACAGGCAGCCCCTATAATTAAGAACAGTATCAGTGGAAGGCATGTAAGGAGATTTTCTCCCCAAGGCCACTTAATACAGATGTAATTGACTCTATTTTCTGCTTTTTGCACATGGATTGCTGCAACTCAGCCCCTATTATCCCCCGACAAATGAACAGGATCCAGTGAAAGGGCCCTCTTCAGCCGGGACCCGTTTGGGAGAATGGAGCACTGGGCTGTGTTAAATCCAGACACAACGCGGCTTCATTCCCCCCCTTTTCATCCCCGCCGCCTATGGAAGATGTTTTTTCCAGCTAGGAGTAAGTCAGCAAATATGCGTTTGGGCAAAACGTTGGCACTCGCTGAAGAAGGGAACATCTGTCCCAATCAGCTGGGCTATTCTGCGGCGGCGCCGCCGAAACACAAAACCGGGCCCGCGTCTTGGGGAGAAAAAGGCTTTTTTTGTGTGTTTGCACTTGCATTTCGCTTTTGCCGGAATTTATAAGGGCGGGGAAGGAGGAAGGGAGGCGAGAAAAGAAATCAAAACCCATTCGCTGCAGCGTCAAAGAGCTCCAGCAAAATCTCCATTTCTAATGCCGCACAATTCCCACCGTGTTGCATCCTCAAAAGGATGCCCTTCAAAATGGGTAATGGTTTATTAGCACAGACGGTAATTTTCTTGGAAATCTCTTAGCACGGAGTGAAAAGAGTCGCTGTGTTTCCTTGGGGCAGAATCTTGCATCCACAGGATGCACGGGGTGTGCTGAAACGAGTCTAAAAAGAGTGAAATTGCACCAAAATCACAGAATTGTTATGGTCGGAAAAGACCTTTAAGGTCATGAAGTCCAACTGTGATCAAGAGGGGACCATCCAGACACGAACGGGAAATGCTTGGCCCATCCCAAGGCTCAACATTTTAGAAAAACTCTTGTATTTTCCCTGAGAATTTCCCATCTTCTCCCCACGGCCACCTTGCAGCTCCAGATCCTTTTGCTTATAAAGGGATTTTCAGTAAACCTGGAAGGGCAGATCCACAACAGGCAACTCCTTCCCGAGCTTTCATGCACGTAAGCAGGAATTCCATACGGAGCAACTTGGGTTGCAGCGCTGCAGCAAAACACTTAATCTACGGGTGCTCAAGGACAAGTCTTGGGGTTTTCCACCCCAAAATCTTCATTCCGTGCAGATTTCCAGCCCCCAACCAGTGCAAACACGAGGTGTGCAAAGGATGCTCAGGATGCAGCGCAATTTGTCCCCACCGGAGCCCCTGTGGGAACCTCCTCCCAAATCCGCCAGGCTTTAATGTCTTCATTTCTCCCCCGGCACGGCCTTCCCGGCGCGGCAGGGATGATTGCAGGGGATAAAGCAGGGCAAATCCAGCCGGGATTAGGTGCCCAGCTGTCCATGCCCCGGCCCGGGGACGCGGCGGCACCAGGAATGCCCAAGCAGGACGCGGGACGGGAACAAAACCCCCATCCCACCCCCAGCCTTTTCCGAGCTTTTTTCCACCCCAGCTGCAAGCTTGGCAGTTCTGCTCCTAAATTTTTAGGCACTTTGCTCTAATAAAATCGGGTTTAGGGATCAAATGGAGCGGGGAAGCCGGTGCGTATCCGGGCTGGAAAAGCAGGGACCTCGAGAAGCAGTTTGGTCCCTCTAGTCAAGCACAAATATTTGGGGTAAATGCAAATATTAATAACCTGCCTCGTGTTGTCAGCGCAAGGGGTGGAAAGAAGCTATAAAATTTGTTTCAAAACAACGTAATGTGCATGGACACAGGTTTTTTTTTGCTTGTTTTTATGGGATGGAGATTATATATATGGGACAAGGGAATCGCAGGGATTTTCACATAAGCCTTAAGACGACTTATTCTATAACATTAGTGTGATGGGTTTGAAATGCCAGCAAGTCCCCGCAGGTCCTTGCAGGGGCGAGGGGCGCGTGGGAAGCGCACCGCGCGAGGTGCCTCCCGCTGCAAAACTCACTCATTTGGCGTGAAATTCCCACTGGGATTATGCAACGGCAGCGCGGCCGCGGGGGGTGGCACCGCGCTCGGCTTCTCCCGTGCAGATCCTGAAATTGCGGAGGGGGAAAAAATAAGGAAAAACGGGCAAAGAAGGGGAAAAAAACAGCGCTAAAAAGGA